TAGTGGCCCCTTAGCTACACAGTGGCCCTTTAGCTACGTAGTGGCCCCTTAGCTACACAGTGGCCCTTTAGCTACGTAGTGGCCCCTTAGCTACACAGTGGCCCTTTAGCTACGTAGTGGTCCCTTAGCTACACAGTGGCCTCAGGTCTCAGGGCCACAAGCAAAGCTCACACCTGATGCATTCTGGGTACAGAGCGTCAGCCTTTACTATCCTCTCCCCTCTGCTACAGCGCCAGTCTGGAGAACATGGCAGTTTTCCAGGTGATTCCGGCTAATGCCACATCAAACGGGGGAAAACTGGGGGGGGAAAACTGGCCTCCCTCTGGTCGTGATCCCAGCAAAAGTGGAGACTTACCTTAGACCAGCAGAGATGCTCATGTTTACATATTTGCTGCTGTTCTGTTGTTCCTGTTGTCTTTGCTATGTCAAACATCCTAATTCATATTCATAAATGCAGCATGTTCCTGTCTGCATTTGTTTTAGTACATTTTACCACTAGGCATTGATTTAGCTAACGAACAGAGGTGCGTTTCACACATTAAGCTGTATAATGCAGCCACACTAAATAGTTATAATCTAATTTACTCCGTTGTCATATCAAACACACCTCTAATGGATTATCATTCGTGAGTAACACCATGTCAGATTAAGCAGTGCTGAAGGCTCTAATCGCCTGGCGCTTAAGGAACATTCGCTAAGATCGACCCATTCAGCAAATCTTGTATGCGATTTAAGAGACGGCAACCAGTGGGCTTAGTTGGAGACGACTGGTAAGCCAGGTCACCCGATAGCATTTCTGTGGGTTCAGATCCCTAAAATATCAAGGGGGGGGGCAGCTTTACAATGGCTGGACATTTAATTACTGCTGTCTTCTAATGTGTGTCACAGTTCATTTGCAGCATTTATTGTTAACTTCCATTAGACACATTCACCCCTATGTTGACGTCACTTCAGGCAGAGCCTATGTGGGGGCGGGACTTTCGGGGCGCCTGCCGCTCGTCTCCCTGCCCCGGGGATTAGCTCCGTGTCCATGCTGGCGACGGAGGCGTCTGACTCTGGCTAAAGCGGCGCAACAATCCACGACCTCAGGTCCATCCGGAGTAAACCTACTGCATGCAGAAGCCAGAATTCCGGCGGTTGCTAGGAGATTCCGATTCGACGTTCCGTGCTGGGCTCACGTTTACCCCCCGCTAGTCCAAGCCCCATATCTGTCAGCAACACGATGATTCCTGCCTCTTAAATGCGCGCTGCCGGTAGCTGGGCTTTGAACGAGAGCATAGACACTGTCACCGCACCTCTCGGTCTGTGAACGCCACCTCTTTCGCCCCCTGCTGGCTGGTGGATGCCCGACGCCCTACAGGATCCTGTTCCAATCAGCCCTTGTAAAATCCTCAATCAGAAGTTGTCAACTCCCATCGAGGGCTGCTACAGCGATGGGTGACCTCGCAGGTCAGCCAGCACAAGATCCTGAATACATCACGCTACAGCCCCCCAGGACTCAGCTCAATCTATCGACTCGCACCCTCTGGTTTTCCGGGCTAATGCATCACTTCATGTGCCTGTGCGCCGGCTCCGTCTCGTACCGTCTTCACCAGGATCGGCTTCATTATAAAGAATCACGCTCAGCAGCTCTTAGAAAACAGACGTGAGGAGAGCCCAGTGGCACGTCAGGACGCTGTGGCTGCAGAGGGGACGCTGTGACCCCGCAACCCTGTTGGGGGGGACTTGCGAGGAATCCGGAGTGTCGGCGCCACGTAGTGTCGGAAAGAGGGCAGAAATGTCCGATGCGCTTCACTTATGGGACCCGGCCACGTACGGCCACAAACGGGCAGGGGCAGCAGTATGGGAGGGGCTCATAATTCTCTTCCCTTGCGTTTAGCCTGCTGCGGTAATGAGAGGGGGGACGGACGGCAGTCACATGGCTATGGCTTTACATCAATGACAAGCGGGGGGTTGGGGAATTAAAGGGACAGACACCGAACCCCATGGCAGGACTGAAGTGGAATCCGCACAAAGCAGCCTTTCTCAAGGAAGAAACTTTTGGCTTTTTTTTCTTTACGAGGCTGAGGCTCGACACAGGCCATGAATTTACAGGCGCGTTAAGCCTCTGGCTCTTTATTGGAACGGCTCAGTTATACGTCTGCAGTTCAGAAGCACTGATAAGGTTAAGCTCTGGTCTTGACGCGGTTCAGGCGCTGGATTACCTTTGTGCTTTATTCAGTGTGCTAGAACATGCATCCATCCCCTGCATGTTTATCTGATGGAGGTGGCAGTGAGCCAGGACCCGTGTTTGAAAGCACAGGCCGCGATGCGGAGGACCTCCACCGGGGGAGCCATACCTTTTTGTAGAGGCTGCGTAGGTCTCTGTATTGCCACATGCTGCTGAGGACCTGAGAGGCTGCTTTCACCACCTTGGGAGAGTGCCTGCAAGAGAGGGAGCAGGGGCGTCACTCAACACCGGGGTTAACTCACTGTCAGCATATAGACTGAGATCCGTCACTCAACACCAGTGTTAACTCACTGTCAGCATACAGACTGAGATCCGTCACTCAACACCA